CGCTCTCTCCCCCCGTTGATCCCGGTGTGTCCCCCCCGTTGATCCCGGTGTTGATCCCGCTCTCTCCCGCCGTTGATCTCGGTCTCTCCCGCCGTTGATCTCGGTCTCTCCCCCCGTTGATCCCGCTCTCTCCCCCGTTGATCCCGGTCTCTCCCCCCATTGATCCCGGTGTTGATCCCGCTCTCCCCCCCCGTTGATCCCGCTCTCTCCCCCGTTGATCCCGGTCTCTCCCCCCGTTGATCCCGGTGTTGATCCCGGTCTCTCCCGGTGTTGATCCCGGTCTCTCCCCCCGTTGATCCCGGTCTCTCCCCCCCTTTGATCCCGCTCTCTCCCCCCCGTTGATCCCGGTCTCTCTCGGTGTTGATCCCGCTCTCTCCCCCCGTTGATCCCGGTCTTTATCCCGCTGTTCCCGCAGGCTGCTACAAGATCACGACCGTGTTCAGCCATGCCCAGACCGTGGTGCTCTGCGTTGGCTGCTCCACCGTGCTCTGCCAGCCCACGGGGGGCAAGGCGCGGCTCACCGAAGGTACCGGCCCCTTTAAATCCCCCCCCCCCGTATCCATGGCATGGGGTTGGGAATGGCGGAATTCCCGGGATAAGGAGGTGATTCCCTTTTCCTGCCCCTCCATCCCAGGGTGTTCCTTCCGGAGGAAGCAGCACTAAGGGATGGATGCGGCTCCGCTGGGACCTCGGCGCCGGCGCGGGGAGGAGGCCAATAAAGTGTGGATAAAATAGGGAGAGACGGGTGGGATGTGAATGGGTCCAGTGGGAATGGGAATGGTCCCAGTGGGAATGGGAATGGTCCCAGTGGGAATGGGAATGGTTCCAGGGGGAATGGTTCCAGGGGGAATGGTCCCAGTGGGAATGATCCCGGTGGGAATGTGAATGGTCCCGGTGGGATGTGAATGGGTCCAGTGGGATGGGAATGATCCCGGTGGGAATGGTCCCAGTGGGATGGGATGCCCATTGACCCCCATCCACCCCATAGGAACACGGATGCACAGGGACCCCCATAGGGACACTGATGCCCATTGACCCCCATCCACCCCATAGGAACACGGATGCACAGGGACCCCCATAGGGGCACTGATGCCCATTGACCCCCATCCACCCCATAGGGACAGGGATGCACAGGGACCCCCATAGGGGCACTGATGCCCATTGACCTCCATCCACCCCATAGGGACACTGATGCCCATTGACCCCCATCCACCCCATAGGAACACTGATGCCCATTGACCCCCATCCACCCCATAGGGACACGGATGCACATTGACCCCCATCCACCCCATAGGGACACGGATGCACATTGACCCCCATCCACCCCATAGGGACACGGATGCCCATTGACCCCCATGCACCCCATAGGAACACGGATGCACATTGACCCCCATCCACCCCATAGGGACATGGATGTGCAGGGACCCCCATCCACCCCATAGGGACAGGGATGCACAGGGACCCCCATAGGGGCACTGATGCCCATTGACCCCCATACACCCCATAGGAACACGGATGTGCAGGGGCCCCCATCCACCCCATAGGGACACTGATGCCCATTGACCCCCATCCACCCCATAGGAACACGGATGCACATTGACCCCCATCCACCCCATAGGGACACTAATGCCCATTGACCCCCATACACCCCATAGGGACAGGGATGCACAGGGACCCCCATAGGGGCACTGATGCCCATTGACCCCCATCCACCCCATAGGCACAGGGATGCACAGGGACCCCCATAGGGGCACTGATGCACATTGACCCCCATCCACCCCATAGGGACACTGATGCCCATTGACCCCCATCCACCCCATAGGAACACGGATGCACATTGACCCCCATCCACCCCATAGGGGCACTGATGCCCATTGACCCCCATCCACCCCATAGGGGCACTGATGCCCATTGACCCCCATCCACCCCATAGGAACACTGATGCCGAAGCGCGCGTGGGGGGTGCAGCACCTTTATTGTCCCCTATCCCCAGGTTAGGGGGGGGGTCACTCACTCCTCGTGCCCATGGGGCGGGGGGGGCACCGCCAGCCCCATTGACACCCGCTCCAGGTAAGCGGAGTCGAAGCAGCGGCGCCGGGCGGCTGCGTCCCCCCCCTTGCAGCAGCGTTTTGGGTCCTTCCAGCCCCCCCTTGCCCCATGGGTGCTGCACAGGGTGGCGATGGTGTGGGTCAGCTGTGGGCAGGCGGGAGGTACCATGGTCACTTTGGGGGGGGGGGGTATGGGGGGGTTATGGGGCGGGGGGTGCCCCATAGGGCGCTCACCTGCTCCTCGGTGCAGGCGCGCTGCTCCTGGGGGGGGCGAGGGCAGCAGGAGGTGATGGCCCCCAGGAGCTCCGGGATTGGGCGCCTGCGGGATGGGGGGGAGCAATGGGATGTGGGGCAGGGATGGGATGTGGGGGGGAGCAATGGGATATGGGGCAGGGATGGGATGTGGGGCGGGCAATGGGATGGGGGGGGGGCAATGGGATGTGGGGGGGGCAATGGGATGTGGGGGTAACAATGGGATATGGGGCAGGGATGGGATGTGGGGGGAGCAATGGGATATGGGGCAGGGATGGGATGTGGGGCAGGGATGGGATGGGGGGGGAGCAATGGGATATGGGGCAGGGATGGGATGTAGGGGGAGCAATGGGATATGGGGCAGGGATGGGATGGGGGGGGAGCAATGGGATATGGGGCAGGGATGGGATGTGGGGGGAGCAATGGGATATGGGGCAGGGATGGGATGGGGGGAGCAATGGGATATGGGGCAGGGATGGGATGTGGGGGAGCAATGGGATATGGGGCAGGGATGGGATGGGGGGAGCAATGGGATATGGGGCAGGGATGGGATGGGGGGCAGGGATGGGATGTGGGGGGAGCAGTGGGATATGGGGCAGGGATGGGATGGGGGGGGAGCAGTGGGATATGGGGCAGGGATGGGATGGGGGGGAGCAATGAGATATGGGGCAGGGATGGGATGTGGGATGGGGGGGACAGGAATGGGATGTAGGAGGCAGGGATGGGATATGGGGGGAGTGAGGGGGTCAGGGATGGGATGTGAAGGGGCAGGGATGGGATATGGTGGTTACCAATGGAATGGGGGCACAAATGGGATGGGACCAGGGATGGGATCAATGGGATGGGGGTTCCGATGGGGATGTGGGGCAGGGATGGGATCACCAATGGGGTGGGGGCTCCAATGGGATGGGATCATCAATGGGATGGGAGCAGGGATGGGACGGGACCAGACCACCAGTGGGGTGGGATGGGGATACCAATGGAATGAGGGCAGCAATGGGGATGGGGTCGCTGATGGGATGGGGGCTTCGATGGGATGGGGACACCCATGGGGTGGGGGCTCCGATGAGGATGGGATGGGATGGGTCAGCAGTGGGATGGGGGCTCCAATGGGATGGGATCATCAATGGGATGGGGGCAGGGATGGGATGGGATGGGATGGGGACACCAATGGAATGAGGGCAGCAATGGGGATGGGGTCGCCGATGGGATGGGGGCTTCGATGGGATGGGATCACCAATGGGGATGGGATCACCAATGGGGATGGGATCACCAATGGGGATGGGATCACCAATGGGGATGGGGTCGCCGATGGGATGGGTCAGCAGTGGGATGGGGGCTCCAATGGGATGGGATCATCAATGGGATGGGGGCAGGGATGGGATGGGATGGGGACACCAATGGGGATGGGGTCGCCGATGGGATGGGGGCTCCGATGGGGATGTGGGGCAGGGATGGGATCACCAATGGGATGGGGGCTCCGATGGGGGTGTGGGGCAGGGATGGGATCACCAATGGGATGTGGGGCAGGGATGGGATACGTGGGGCAGGGATGGGATCACCAATGGGATGGGGGCTCCGATGGGGATGGGATCACCAATGGGATGGGGGCTCCAATGGGGATGGGGGCTCCGATGAGGATGTGGGGCAGGGATGGGATCACCAATGGGATGGGGGCTCCAATGGGGATGGGGGCTCCGATGGGGATGTGGGGCAGGGATGGGATCACCAATGGGATGAGGGCTCCGATGGGGATGTGGGGCAGGGATGGGATACGTGGGGCAGGGATGGGATCACCAATGGGATGAGGGCTCCAATGGGGATGGGGGCTCTGATGGGGATGTGGGGCAGGGATGGGATCACCAATGGGACGTGGGGCAGGGATGGGATCACCAATGGGATGTGGGGCAGGGATGGGATCACCAATGGGATGAGGGCTCCGATGGGGATGTGGGGATGTGGGGCAGGGATGGGATCACCAATGGGATGGGGGCTCCGATGGGTATGGGGTCGCTGATGGGATGGGTCAGCAATGGGATGGGGGCTCCGATGGGGATGTGGGGCAGGGATGGGATCACCAATGGGATGTGGGGCAGGGATGGGATCACCAATGGGATGGGGGCTCCGATGGGGATGTGGGGCAGGGATGGGATCACCAATGGGATGTGGGGCAGGGATGGGTCACCAATGGGATGGGGGCTCCGATGGGGATGTGGGGCAGGGATGGGATCACCAATGGGATGTGGGCTCCGATGGGGATGTGGGGCAGGGATGGGATCACCAATGGGATGGGGGCTCCGATGGGGGTGTGGGGCAGGGATGGGATCACCAATGGGATGTGGGGCAGGGATGGGATACGTGGGGCAGGGATGGGATCACCAATGGGATGGGGGCTCCGATGGGGATGGGATCACCAATGGGATGGGGGCTCCAATGGGGATGGGGGCTCCGATGAGGATGTGGGGCAGGGATGGGATCACCAATGGGATGGGGGCTCTGATGGGGATGGGATCACCAATGGGATGGGGGCTCCAATGGGGATGGGGGCTCCGATGAGGATGTGGGGCAGGGACGGGATCACCAATGGGATGGGGGGCAGGGACGGGATCACCAATGGGATGAGGGGCAGGGGTGGGATACGTGGGGCAGGGATGGGATCACCAATGGGATGTGGGGCAGGGATGGGATCACCAATGGGACGTGGGGCAGGGATGGGATCACCAATGGGATGGGGGCTCCGATGGGGATGTGGGGCAGGGATGGGATCACCAATGGGACGTGGGGCAGGGATGGGATCACCAATGGGACGTGGGGCAGGGATGGGATCACCAATGGGATGGGGGCTCCGATGGGGATGTGGGGCAGGGATGGGATCACCAATGGGATGGGGGCTCCGATGGGTATGGGGTCGCTGATGGGATGGGTCAGCAATGGGATGTGGGCTCCGATGGGGATGTGGGGCAGGGATGGGGGCTCCGATGAGGATGTGGGGCAGGGATGGGATCACCAATGGGATGTGGGGCAGGGATGGGTCACCAATGGGATGGGGGCTCCGATGGGGATGTGGGGCAGGGATGGGATCACCAATGGGACGTGGGGCAGGGGTGGGATCACCAATGGGATGTGGGGCAGGGATGGGATACGTGGGTCAGGGACGGGTCGGGGGGTGCCGGTGCCGGTGCCCACCTCTTGCTGAGCAGCCTGGCGGGGCCGCAGAGCGCCCGCAGCAGCGCGGGCCCTGCCCGGCCCAGGCTCACGTTGTGCAGCTCCCGATCGTAGCGCGGCTGCGGGGCCGAGGCCGCGAAGCAGCGGAGCCGGGCGGGGGCCGAGCCCTGCCCGCAGCAGCTCCGCTCCCGCAGCCCCAGCGCCGCCTCCTGCCGGCAGAGCCGCTCCAGCCCCGAGCGCCACTGCGGGAGCGGCGGGGCTGGGACCGGGACC